CCATATTGTTTTTCATAGTGGTTATACCAGTTTATACTCCCACCAACAGCGTAAAATACCAACAGTGTTCCCTTTCTACCACATCCATGCCAACATTTATTGTTTTTTTAATTATGGTCATTCTTGCACGAATAAGGTGGTATCTCATTGTGGCTTTGAATTTGCATTTCCTGGATAGTGAGTTGAGCATTTTTTCATGATTGTCGGCTGTAATCTTCTAAATACAAGTCAGCCAACAAATGGATAAAGAAAATGTGGTATATATATATATATATATATATATATATATATATGACATGGGATACTACTCAGCCATAAAACAGAATGAAATAATGGCATCTGCAGCAACTTGGATAGAATTGGAGACCATTATTTTAAAAGTAACTCAGAATGGAAAACCAAATATCGTATGTTCTCACTTATAAGTGGGAGCTAAGCTATGAGGATTCAAAGGCATAAGAATGATATAATGGACTCTGGAGACTCAGGGTGAAGAAGGGTGGGAAGTACATGAGAAATAAAAGACTACAGTGTACGCTGCTCGGGTGACAGGAACACTGAAATCTCAGAAATCACCGCTACAGAATGTCTCCATGTAAGCAAAAACCACCTGTTCCCCAAAATCTACTGAACTTAAAAAAAAAAATCTCTAATAAGGCAAAATTTAATTTAAAAATATATATGAGTTCATAACCACAAAGTATTGAACACAAAGAAAGCATGTGGAAATATAGGGGTATTCTAAGTTAGCTATGAAAATACAAGTTGTTACAAAATCAGTGAAAAGAATGAGAACAATGGAAGGAAAACAAAAGGACCCTGAGATCCAAAGAGCTACAAACTGGGAAAAAAGCATGCCCCACATTTCAGAGTGCCAAAGCCCTTTAGAAAATGGTTATTAGCAGAATATCTTATCAAAGAAAACCATAAATCTGGGTATCCCCAAAAGATAAGTTGTTGTGGAAAACATTTTAGTAGTTTTCTGCTTTCACAGTCAGAATAAAAACATGAGACAGCAAACTCCAGAGATTACAGACGTAACACCAAGGTGAGACGTGTAATTGGCCACATCAGCGTGGCAATGATTAGATAACTCCTGGACTAAAAACCTCAAAGAATGGGCACAGGAAGGAAAGGTAATTCAAAGACACAGGTTGAAGCTGCAGAACCACAGTGTCTAGTAAGTAGCTGAGAATGGAGCACATGTGTCTAGTGAGCAGATTTACACTATTCAGCTTCATCAATTAATTCCATTCTGCAAACACTATTGAGTTCCTACTATGTGTCAGGTCTCGTGCTAGGCGCTGTTGAGGGAAAAGGCATGAGTCAGGCAGCCCCTGACTCTCACAGTTCAGAGTACACTACAGCAAACAGGTGCATATACAAGCAAATATATTAAAAAAAACACATTGTCATAAGAATTGTATGTGATGCATGAAGGTATGAGTTAGTAAACAATGGTTTGCCATTAGAATATAGTACAAGGTTTGGGTTTACTCTAGAGTTAGAAAAGACTTGAGTGCCAAATCTGAGCAGGTTGTGCTTCTCTGAACAAATAGCTTACACTCTCTAGACTGCAGTTTTCACATTTACACCAGAACAAGATGAATTGTGTGACTTCTAGTAGTTCTGCCTTCCAGGTTCAAGCAATTCTCCTGCCTCAGCCTCCCAAGTACCTAGTATTACAGACACCTGCCACCGTGCCCAGCTGATTTTTAGTAGAGATGGGGTTTCACCATGTTGGCTAGGCTGCTCTCGAACTCCTGATCTCAGTTGATCCACCTGCCTCGGCCTCCCATAGTATTGGGATTACAGGCTTGAGCCACTAGGCCCAGCCTTGGAGGTCAATTTTAAGCAATGAATTAAGACTGTAGAAGCAGGAAACTTGGGGACAAGTACATGTTAAAAGCAAAAAACAGCATGAGCCAAGGCAATATGGAGCATAAGCTGGTATCAACAAGGCATCCTGGAAATAAAACCTGTGCTACGTACTATCTGGGGAATTTCACTAAGAATATAGAACATTCTAAATGAAAAAAAAAAGTAAAAGAAAAAGGATTGTTATAAACTTTTAAAATGTGTAAACATTTCAACACAATGGGGAGAAGTTACAAAAATGTTCAGAGTAAAAAGAATGTACTGATAACATTTAAATTAAATATAACAAAAAGCAAATCTTATTCTTCCAACAAATACGTGGATACATCTTTGTGTCATACAGCAGATGCAAAAATGTAGCTTCTATTTTAAAAAGTCTGAATGTCCATAAACCGTTCCCAAGATTTGTCTTTAACTTACATATTAAAGGAAAATTTCTTCTCTTGCATATTCAGAAAAGGTAAAGGTTATTATATTTAGAGAGAGGGGGAGAGAGGAAAAGAGTGAGAATTGGCAGAAATGCAAGAAAGAACCAAAATTTCAGAAAACAAAAGACTGAGTTATACCATATTCCAAACTGCTTTGGAGAAGCATTACTGAGCAGTGCACTCACACAGCCAGCCATCCGCCAGCCATCCAAATATATATGCATACATAAGAACACACAGACATACATTTGACCATATGCAACCATTCCTACTAAAAACACAGTAGCATAATATGAGCTATGAGGAACATAAGGACGAGTGAGAAACCATGTCTTGTTGCTTCAATGGGGAAGCAAAGCTTACATATATTCTTATGAGGGAAGCAGGGACGTATCACTGTAATATGGGGCTTGGTGCCACATGTGCTGTGAATAGAAGGACAGGCAGCATCGCATGCTGGAAATGGACAGCAGCCTCGGTTCAGAAACATACTCCAAACAAATTATAGAGAATGTCACCTCTTTTAAGCTTCCATTTCTTTATAAGAAAAAAAAAAACATTTTTTAGGGCTACATAAGAAGGCAATAAAATACTAATGAGAAAGCATAGAGCCTGGCATATACTACATGTTCAATATGGGACAGAATGCAAGCAGGAGCAATAACAAATTTGGTGGTCACAGAATACCAAGCAGAAGTTCGGTAGTAATAGAATAAGATGTGGAAACTTGGGGAAGGAAGTGATTACTTCTGATCTAGGTCACACCTAGACTTTTGGAGAAAGTGATATAAACAGCATTTTGCCAGGTAACAAAAACGTATGGAGTGGCATGTTGAAGGTGAGGCCAAGGACTGTGCACAGCAGAGCATGCAAACAAATCACTTCGGTGTTCTAGAGAATAAGATAGTGGGTGCACCACACATAGCTCAGGCAGGGCATGTCAAATTCAGAATAAAGGAGTCTAAAGGAAGGCCATTATATGCTTGTCTTCTCGCTATCTCATATATGCCATTTCTTAGCCCACTCAATATAAAACCTGCCCTCCCCATAATGCTCAGACATATAAGAACTCTCAGACCTACAAAGACTTCCTCACACCTTTGCCTTCTACTCTATAACTGGCCATGTCTCTCTTCTGTTCCTATTAAAGGGAGGTCCACTGAAGCTTTCCCCAAAAATGAGGAGACAAAATAACAATGCCCCTGGTAAGCTGACAAAGGGAACCATTGAAAACATAAATAAGGAAGCCGACATACTGCTCCACCTGTTCCTACGAAGAGCGATGCTCTTCCAGATCCCATTCTCAAGCCCTGCAATTACTGAAGAAGGAAGAGTCAAAGAAAACCAGTTTCACTAAGCGCTTGACTAACTGCAAAGATGCGGTCTCCTTCAAGGGCACTAAAACATCATGGTGTCCTGTAGAGATTGGTATAGCACCAAAGGCTTCATTTATTGTTTTTCCAGAGCAGCTTTCTGAGGGTCTCATTGTTGCACTTTCTGAGAAAAAGGATACCTGAAGATCCACAGCTGCAGCTTAGCCAAGCATGCGGAAGCCTGATGCATCCTACCACCCAGCCTAGGTGTCCGGTCATGCTACACAAGCTAGACATCTTAACTAGGCTTCTGGCATCAGACCCAAAATACCAATAAAGTGTTTACTTGGAGTGGGAGAGGACTAGGAAGAAAAGCGGAGGACTGGACCGTAACACAGAGTGTTAAATACTTGCATACAATATTGATAAAACAAACATTCATATCATCCAAGAAGCAACTGGAAACATCATGGAGAGGGAAAGATATTAATAACTTTTTAAATGGCAGGACAGAGACAGAAAACAAAGAAAGAGGAGCTAAATCTTTCATTGCCTCTTCTCTATTAGCTCCTAGAAGTCGAATATTCTTCAGGTTTTTAATTTTAAGTATTGTTTCTTGAATTTAAATGAGCTGCTAACATTCATTGGTATAAATATGTAACCTTTTCAACCAAACAGTATGGTACCATTTACACTGACCCTGAGGCTTTGTGTGTGAGTGTATACACACAAATACACGCAAAAGCTGGAGCTCACACAGACCTTCAAAGCTACTTGATGTAAACTGAATGCATTGTTATTCAAACCCCTAAAACTAGGCTTCACTCAAATTTGTCTGGGAGCTCCGGCATATGCAGATCTCACAGAACTCTCTAGACAACTTCATCCTTCAGCAGCCTAAGGGAAGAAAAACAGCCAGAGGAGGTAATACAATTCCATGCACGTCATTAGGTGTACTTTGTGTAAAAAGTTTCTGATTGGACTACTGCTTGGCAGCATTCCCAGACATTTGTCTAAGGGCAAGAGGGAGGGACCATTGTCTGGTAGGTACAACCTTACTAGAGAATGAGCTGGAGGTGGAAGATAATGCAGTAGAAAGGCATTGAGCTGTGACTGAAGAGGTCAGATTTCTACTTTGGGTTCTAACCCTACTTCACTATGTAACCATAACCATATAGTCCAAAAAAGTCTTTTTCCTAAAAGAAGGGGTTGGTCTAGACCATTTCCGGGGGCTCCTTTACTTTTAGTAGCCTATAAAGTATGATAACCACACTGTGAATCACAAGCTACCTTTTTCTGACACAACATTTTACTATAAATCACCTACGTAACATTGAACTTTCCTACTCCAAGCACCCACCTCTGAAATCCCAGCACTTACCCTCACTTCCGGGTTGCTTGTATGGGTTGTACTTCGGTTTTGGAGCAACTACTGGTGCAAACTTTTTGGGTGGCTGTTGTGTAGACACTGAAATGCTGGGGTTCCCAAAGGAATGGGTGGTCTCCATCCGTGCAGGCACATGGCCGAGGGGCTCACCAGTGCTTTTGGGTGGCAGCCAAGATGGGTGAGACATGGTTGGAATCTGTGATTAAAAAGAAATAAACATTGTTTGTATGGAAACATGAAAATGGAGAAAATAACACCTCACTTCATTGCTATTTTATCTTAATCCATACTAAACGAATCTTCATAAAGCTCTCTGGAAAGAAGGATGAAAGAAAATGGAAGAAGGAAAAATGAAGAGGCAGAGGAATCGACAGCAGGAAGAGGAGGAGGAAGAGGAGAAGGGGAGGAAAAGGAGAAAGAGAAAAAGAAAGGAGGGGAGGAGGAGGAGAAGGAAGAGGACACTCCCCCAAACTTGAATATCTCCCTTCCAATAGTGACCTATTTCAGTACCTAGCACTCTTGGGAAACAGATATGAATAAGAAATGCTTCATAACTTGAAGGAGTTTCTATAGTAGGAGGATGGAAAAGAGCTTCAATTTTATTAATAATCTATTAAAGTGATTATCTCACCAATTAAATGGTTATACCTAAATGAAGTGCTAAGTTACCTAAGTGAGGTTAAATACAAGTGTGGCAAAGATGCAGAAAAGGCTCACTTCTTGGTGGGGGCAGAATTAACAAGATTTTATTGATGAGGTGATATACAGACTGGGTTTGAGTGCTGAGTAGAGTTTGAGCCTGAAAAACGTTAGCAAAATTATATAGGCAGAAAAGTTCACAGCACTTAGGTTTAGTGTTCTTGGAGGGGGAATAACATAAAGTACCAAGCAAAAGAACTAAGAGCTGGGTTGAAACCAAAGCACAGGCAGCTTAGCAGCCACACTTGAGTTTAAACTTATTCTTCAGGCATTAAGGAACCACTGACAGTTTATTTTGGAAACACAGGCTTAACAAATACCTAGCAGCACACTTTTAAATGACCCATCCACAGGAGCAGCTCTGGTCTCCACCAAGGGGCATGTGGAAAAGGGGAGGAGGGGCACATAGGTTGCCACAATGTCTGGGACAGTTATTAGAATTTAGGGCCAGAGGATAGAATATTCAACACATGTAATACAAAGGTCAGCCCTGAACAACAATGAAATGCCCGTGAACATCTATGCTGAGCTGATCCCATATTGGATCTTCATGAAGAGCTTAAAGTAGGAGGGAACAATCAGATCAGATCAGATCAGCCCAGCCCAGCCCAGCCCAGCCCAGATGCTGCTCTGATCAGATTGCACATACTATTTGAAGAAAGGAAATGTCTCCTCTGTCAGCATAAGCCAATCACCTCTCCAGTCAGCCTGCCTGCTGGGGATGAGCCTCGCAGGTTGCTGCTGAGGAGGGCTCTCCAAGCCTGATTGCAAGAGCTCTCCAGCACAGGGACACCCGGAAGGCACCCTGTACACACCCCCACCCCAAAGCCACCTACTAATTTATTAATTGAACTGAATTAATTAAGAGGGCTACATGATTACTTCCAGATGTCTGTAATGACAAAGAACATTGGAACACAAAAAAAATCAAAGGCCTCAGTACATGGCATAGTAATAGAGACACAGGGTGGAGGTGAGAGCTGGGAAACAGTGTTGCCTGGATATTAACATCGGTCCACACTACCAACAAGTGGCATGACTTTGAAGAGCACCTCCTCTAGAGCCTCAGGTCATTTCACTGTCTCAGAGAACTCAGACAAACATAGTGGCTCACACCTCTAATCCCAGCACTTTGGAGGCCAAGGCTGAAGGATCACCTGAGGCCAGGAGTTCAAACCAGCTTAGACAATAGATTGAGATTCTGTCTCTACAAAAAAAAAAAATTAAAACTTAGCTTGATGTGGTGGTGCACACCTATTGTTCCAGCTATTCAGGAGGCTGAGGTTGGAGGATCATTTGTGTCTGGGAGACAAAGGCTGCAGTAAGCTATGATTGCACCACTGCACTCCAGCCTGGGTGACAGAGAAAGACCTTGTCTCAAAAAACAAACAAACCTCTGTCTTCCTTAGCTCTCAGAATTTTTATGACAACCAATGAGATCTTAAAGTACATTGTATAGTGCAAAGTGCTATCCAAAGTGAGAAAAAAGGATGCCTCTATTCTTATAGAAAGTCAATGGCAATTTTGTGACCATCTTGCTTGGAAGAACAGCTTGATGTGCAGTTTTCTTAAAAGAAGAGGATAACATGATTCAATGACAAAGACTCTAAACTGGAAATCAGGACACATGCTATTGAAGCCAGTGATGGTATTGGCTTTTCACTCTGGTTACAGGATCTTTCTTTTCTTTTCCTTCACCTGTACCTTTTACATATTCATATGTATACACAAATATATACATGTGTGTATACACACACACACACACACACACACACAAAGATACACATATGCTTGCTAAACTGTGAGTTCCTTAAAAGGGCATGTACCATATTTTACACATTTAAAAACTACCATTAAGGACTAGCACAAAACCAATATAGAAAAACAACCAATGAATGTGTGTTTTACTCATGGTTCTTAAATTTAGCTGCACATTTGGAATAACTTGAGATGATTTTTTTTTCTAAATACCAAAACCAAACCCATCTCACAGGGTTGAGAGATGCCAATTTTGGTTTTGCTTTTGCTTTTAATTGAGGTTTGGTCTTCTACTAAATTGGGATAAAAGTGATAAAAGTGACTGGTTTGCTTTCAGTATGACTAACGTGAATGTAAGTGTGAAATAAAAGGGATCGAGTAAAGGTTTGGAATTTTAATGCACTGTGCACATTTGTAGTGTAAGTTTTAATTTTTTAAATGGCTTAATACTGTCCTTGGAAGGTCTCTATAAATCTAACGTTATTTTACAATGAAACGTTTTAAAATTGGTTAATATAGGATGCAGTAGTTTCTTAAGCAAAGATTCACATTTTCACAGCAATCTCAAGTTACTGACTTTATCATCTTGGCTTTTCAGATACAGCATAAAGAAATAGGCAATTTCTGGAAGAGTATAAATAAAATTTAAGCATCATATGGAAATCTTTGGTTCCACAGTCATTTCAGTTATGCCCAGCACCATAAGTTACCCGGATACTTCCCTCCATGAAGAAGCACCACCTCCTGCTCCTCCTGAGAGGCCAGTGTTCTGACTAATCATTTGTTTGCAGATGACCTTTTCAGCATCTTCTCTTACCATTCTTCTATGTGTCAGCAGTGACCCAGTGACACCATTCCCAGATTTTATAATAAACTTTCATGATTTTGAAACCTTGCTCATGCTGTGTTCACTATCAATGATGCCATTTCCTTCTTTGCTTCCTACCAAGCCCTATGTTTTTGTATTGTCCCAGCTCAAATGTCTCTAACTCTGTGAACATTTCTCTAACTCTTCCAAAGAAGAGTAGCTTAATTCCTTTTTCTGGGCTCTTTAGTACTTTCTGCATACTTAATACAGTCCACAAGGAAGTCATTTAATTCACCTGCCTACATGCCTCAACAAGCCGGAAACTCCAAGTAGTCTCACTGTACTGGCATGTCCCTAGGCAAGAAGCCCTTACAAAAATATCTTACACAGAAATGGGTGAATGAATGAACATTACTCTTTCTTAGTTACTCATATCTTTCTAGAATTGCTAAAGCAATCACTAATACAATCATCTTTTTTCTTCCCTTAATTAGGTGATATAATAGAGCATGCTGATAGATTTCCAAATATTGAACCACCTTTGCATTTGTGGAATAAATCCTATCTAGTCACAGCTGCAGTGCCCTCTTTAACAACCACTCAATCATCTCTTTTTCCCTCCCTTAATTTGATGATGTAATAAAATATGTTGATAAAGTTCCAGGTATTGAACCATCTTTGCATTCCTAGAATAAATTCTTTGTTACAGTTGTGTTTTGATATATTAACAAACTATGCTATTTTATTTATAATTCATGTACATATAATCATAAGACCATTTTATTGCATTTTCTCTGCTTGTTTTACTTATCATAATTAGGTTTTGATAAGAGGGTTTTCTCCAACCTCCTCTACTGTCTTGGTTATTTAATAACTACAGTGGAATTATCTGATTTTTAAAGGTTTATAAAAATTAAGCATAGAGTCATCTAAATATACCTTCGTTTAACAGACATTAATCAGATTTCCAGTAATGTCTATGATAGTAGTACCAGTTTTCTATTATTCTGAGGTCATTTTGCATTACTTTTCTGCCAGAAATTTACCATTTGTTTCCTAGGTTTTATCTCTGCTATCTCTTAACCAAGCTACTACTTTCTAAAAATGACTTCCAACTTTCTGTGCATCAATTTAGATCGTATGTATACTTTCATCAATTTAGATCATAAGTATATTTTTCATTAGTCCTTAAAAACAAATCTTGCACTATATCCTACAGTTCAAGTTACATAGCCTTATAATACCATTCCACAGCATGTACATACCACTGTCATACATTCATCACATGGTACTCAGTCTGTCTCCTTGCCTGTATCCCAAACTAAACTCTCAAATGCTTAAGAGTAGAAATACTTATCATTTATAATCCCAGGGCCTAAACATGATAGGTACTCAATAAAAATGTGTTAATTTAATTAATGAATGAATTTATTTGCCTGGCACTGGAGCTATAGATGAATCAGATTCTTATTCTTTACTCAAAGAGCTCAAAGCCTATTTGAGGAAGAAATATTTATAAATGTGAAAAGAGAAAGAGAGCAACACAGAAAGCACATGAAAAATGTTGGGGGATGTCAGAAAAGCTAGCATAAGCTTGGCAGAGGTAGCCTTTAACCAGGACTTTGAAAGCTGGGTGAATAAAAGAAAACTGGAGTAACAGGGCAAATATTAGAAATAATAATGTGAGCTCAGGTATGAAGCAAGACATTTCTGTAAGACAGGGATCAGACCAGTGGTACCAAAATGAGGGATTCAGGGAGAATAGTTAGGGGAAGTTTTAAAAGATAACATGAGTCCTGCCTTTTAAAGGTCTTACATAAAGATAAGAAGCTAGAGATTTTATCCTTGAACAGGAAGATAACAAGAGTGAAAACTCTAGGCACTAAAAATTAAATCATGTAGGACGGATCCAAGGAAAATGATACATCCAA